GGAGGGGGAGAGGAGGTGGGAAGGATTTTTAAAAGGAAGTTTCTAAGGAGGAATCAGGAAATTTACCAAACTCTCCAAGTCCACTTGAGAGTAGTGACTTCCTGAGGGAGTCTTTACCAGTGATATTGTCATGGGAAATTCTCAAATATTCACACTTTCTAGGAACAGAATCTTTTCTTTCTGATTCCAATGAATCTCCTTTCATTAATCCCCTTTCTTATAGTTTACAGTTGCCCTTCCTCAGTTACTCAAAAAAACTTTCTTTTACTTACACTACACTATGAAAGGAAGATGGGGGAGGGGGGGTAAAAATGCACATTTCTCATCTCTAAGAAACATTTATTCAGCAACTTCTGCTTGGAAGAGACTAAGGATACAGTGCACTGAGATCTGGTGTCCTGCCCTTAGGGAGCTTACAATCTAGTTAGGGACCAAGACATACATAGTATAAGTATCAAGTGAGTATGTCTGATAAATACATATTATAGGATTTTGGAGGTGAAGGAGTTCAGAACATGTCACTCCAAAATATGCCATTGGGTATGCTGATTACTTTGAGTTAAAAGCACAGGAGAAACAGCAAGTTCAAGAGGGGCGCTCTGACCCTCCTTTAGTTTCCTGAAAGTAGGAGATAAAACTCCCATGTGAAAGGTGCTCTCCCTGTAAGGAAGAAGACATTCTATCATCAGAAATGAGAAATCAAAGCCCAGATATCTATACAAACAAACCCTGTTAAATCCTTATCTTCCTACCAGTGGTTCTCAACCTTCTGGCCCTTTAAATACAGTTCCTCATGTTGTGACCCAATCATAAAATTATTTTCGTTGCTACTTCATAACTGTAATGTTGCTACATTACAGTAGCAACTGTAATGTAAATATCTGGTATGCAGGATGGTCTTAGTAACCCCTGTGAAAGGGTCGTTCAACCGCCAAAGGGGTCGCGACCCACAGGTTGAGAACTGCTCTCTAGTCACTTCTCCACAATTTACTACTCCTAGCCCAGTGGTCTGCAAACTGCAGCTCGCAAGCCACATGCAGCTCTTTGGCCTCTTGAGTGTGGCTCTTCCACAAAATACCGACTTCTGCGCATGGGCCACGACGTTTCAATCGCACTGTACGTGCACGCCCGCACGTGGTATTTTGTGGAAGAGCCACACTCAAGGGGGCAAAGAGCCGCATGTGGCTCGCGAGCCACAATTTGCCAACCACTGTCCTAGCCCAAACCTCTCTGTCTAGACCAGTGGTTCTCAATCTTCCTAATGCCGAGACCCTTTAATACAGTTCCTCATGTTGTGGTGACCCCCAATTTCATTGTTACAAATTGAACATAATTAAAGCATAGTGATTAATAACAAAAACAATATGTAATTATATATGCGTTTTCCGATGGTCTTAGGCGACCCCTGTGAAGGAGTCGTTCGACCGACACGCTGTTTTCCGAAACGCTAGAAAAACAAGATATTGCCACAGGCAAAATGACTTTGACGAGACGAACCTTGGTAGAGCAAGAGGTGACACCTGTTTAGAAGGGGAACACAAAAACAGACAATGAGGGCTCTGAGTGGAAGGCAGCCTCTATTAAATAACAGTGAAGGGGTTGAACACTGTGTAATCTACAAACCATAATTTGATAAAGGGCGAAACAGAGTGGACTGGGATCGTGTTCCCCAGACGGGGCGTTTGCCCAAATGTTTGGC